CACACACACACACACACTCACTCACACACTCACTCACACACTCACACACTCACTCACACACTCACTCACACACTCACTCACACACTCACTCACTCACACACTCACACACTCACTCACTCACACACTCACTCACACACTCACTCACTCACACACTCACTCACACACTCACTCACACACACACTCTCACACACTCACTCACTCACACACACACACACACACTCATGAAACTCTGCCCACTAGCTACAGGTGCTAATATTAACTAGCATGTGATCATTCCTCCAACTGAAAACATCACTGAGCCCTGAACCTGAATTTGTCTCCACACTTTATTACGCAAGGTGAATAAATGTAACTGCAGGTAAAGGACTGAAATGGAAGAAGCTTTTTAAATCCTGTTGCTGTATTTTTAACATCGTGTGAGTGCTGAAGAACGAGAAGCGGATTTTTAAACAGGAACACACTCACCGTCAGAAGTAAAACGGAAGAACATAGAAAATTAAACGCAGTGTTTTTAAATATTCATTATTCTGAAATATATTATTGCTCTACTCATAATTAGAAACACATTTTAATGAAAAAGGAACTGAAATGGGGCGATGTGGACATTTCTCTCTCACAGCGAGATACGATTATTAGATCGTCTTTAAAGAAGAGACAAAACTGAACCCGTGTTCAATCCCTCAACAGCCACGATTACATCACTGTGATGTCACCATGAAATCATCCGTACTGACTCACTCACTTGGATGGCATCTGCTCATTACTCATGTGAATATCTGAGCATCAGTTCATCTGTTTTTGCTGTTATTTAGCATCATCCTGGTTTACTGGAAGTTTTCTGAGCATCGATCTGCAGGACGATCAGATCTGTACTAATGAAACAGTATTAACCCAAAACAAATCACCTCCAAACAACACCACCTCTTCCTAACAACATACATTATAAACTTATAAAAATACAACATGTAATACAACATTCGGCAAAAATCACACAAACCTGCTGAAGCTCTGCTGTGATTACGGCCGACGGAATCCACGCGCTAAATGTCGATTTTCTGGTCTAGTTTTTGTTGTTGGTTTTTTAATTAAAGCATTTTTTTTGGCCTTCTAAGAAATCTTACCAGAAATTAATTCAGATTTAAATCAATTTTATTTATTAAATTATTTATTTATTTTAATAATAGACATTGTCACAAAGCATCTTTACAGAAATCCAGATGTAGATTTAGATCCCTAACGAAGAAGCCAGAGTCGACAGTGATGAGGAAAAACTCCTTTTAAATTCCTTTTATATTCCTGTTAAATCAGTTTCAAAGTTCATATTATTATTTTCCTACTA